CCCGGGCAGCAGCCTGCCCCTCCCAAGGTCCCTGGGTTGCAACACGTGAAAATTGCAAATCCAATAACCTGCTTGTGTCATTGTGTCAACTCAGAAAGCATGCACTGCACCTCTGCTGTGCAAGGGAGAGGCCATGAGCCCGTGGCCTGGGGGGCCTCTCGGCCTCTCCACGGTCCCCTCCCCGCCAGCCCCCGGGTACCTGGGATGCTCACCACACGTGATCTTCTTGCTGGCGCAGTTGACATCTGTGCTCACCCTGGTGGAGTCCTGGATACAGTCCATCTCAGCAGCCTCCTCGTGGCACCGGCGGTGCTGGAAGCAGCAGCTGGGGGTGGGGGAGGGTCAGGAGGGAGGCAGGCAGCCTGTCATCACCGCGTGCCTCCCGATGGTTCCAGCGGGGTCTTCTCAGACACTCGGGCACTCACTCACACACACACACACACACACACACACACACACACACGCTCACACACACACATGCATGCTCACATATGCATGCTCACACACACGCTCACACATGCTCACACACATGCACGCTTACATGCTCACACATATGCTCACTCACACGCTCACACACACGCTCACACACATGCTCACATGCTCACACACACGCTCGCTCACACACTCACACTCACACACACACACACACACACACACACATGCTCACACGCTCACATGCACACGCTCACACATGCATGCTCACACACACGCTCACACACATGCTCACACACGCTCACACATGCTCACACACACACAATACTGGAAGTATGTTGCCTGTGCAGCAGGTGCTGCTCTTATCAGGAGCCTTTAGGTTTGTGGGGACTGAGACGTGGGCTCTGTAACTTGCCAAGGTCAAGGCTGATCCCAGTCTCCTGAACCTCAATGTGGTCGGCGGCACCACCACACAGGACATCGATGGAAAGAAGGAAAACTATATAGGCCGCTGATGACCTTGGGCAAGTTACTAAGTTCCTCACACAGCATAAGAATCGGGGGGAATTCCAGAAACATCCATAGGGACCCCACCCTGCCTTAGGCCCTCCGCAGGCGGCAGCAGTTATTTCTGCAATCTGGCGGCAAGTTCAAGGTGGCAGTAGCCTGCCCTCCAGGAGCCTGGAGCCCTGTCCCCGCCAGCTGAACTGTGGAACGCAATTGGAGCTGAGCGTGACCCAGAATTCTGCCAGTTTGCCGCCCTCCGTGCTGTGATCATTCTTTTTGGGTCGGAGACGGTGACGAATTACTGCTTCATTTCTCTGACTTGTAGGTTTGCAGGTGTGTTAATAATTAAAGGAAGCGCTAAGGGAGGACCCGGAAGGAAAGTGTTCCCAGAAATGGCCCCGGCACCGTGCCCGGGCAGAACCAGCTCCCCCTCCTGAAAGTCAGGGAGCTGGCTCAGGGGCCGGCCCGCTCCGGGCCCCGGAACAGGAAACAGCCCTTCCGGTCCAGAGTGACCTACACCCTCTCGGAGATCTGAAGATGGGACAGGTCTGTGTTTTAATTCCGGAGCCATTAGTCCTTGTCGATCAAGGACATATCACTGTCTAATCAATTCATTTTTCATCTCTGAGAAGCAATCAGAAGTTGACCCCCTCGTCATGGGTTAATTTACTGAGCTGCATGTGCCAGGGGCTGCGGGTACAAATACACATGCCTGAGCCAACCCCCCTCTCGCGGGCACTTCTGTTGTCCCCACATTCCCGCTGGGCTGGCCCCTCTCCGAGGCGGGGGGTCTCCATTTATATTAAGCACAGGTCACGTATCGGTGGTGTTTGCTACAGGTCTGTGAAACTGAACAGACCCTTCATCGTCGCTTTACCCTGGTGGCCAGGACTGTCCTGAATTAAAAAGATTCTCATGTTCTACGCTGAAGAGCCCCGGGGCGGCTTGTTAAGCCCAGGCTCCCGGTTCTCCCGTAGGCAGGGCGGGTGGGCCTCTGGGCTGCCTGTGAGAGAGCAGCCAGGTGGCCTGTGCAGTGGCCCCACACGATGAGAAACGAGAGGAAAGGTTTGCCTATGGGGCCTGACACAGGCTCTCGATAACTCCCTGGGACGCGAGCAGATCACAGATTAACTGCAACATAGAGATGAGGAAAGCAGTCGTCCGTGGTGAGTCACAGAACCGAGACCCGCCTGACCCCGTCCGGGGAGCTTTCTGTGCGTGCGCTCCGCCCAGGCCCAGCCAGGCCGCCGCTCCCGGCTCCTGCTCACCTGTCCGACTCGTCCACGGGCAGCCCTTCCATCTCGAACCGGCAGGCGCAGCCATAGTCCTCCAGGTCCCGGGGGCAGACGCCAGCCACGCACCGCAGGCCACCCACGAACTGCAGCAGCGCGGGGAAGCTGGTGAAGACGGCCTGCAGCCAGGTGAAGTGGGAGCCCAGGCAGTCTGCGGAGGGAGAGCAGGGCGGGCGCTGGAGGCAGCGGCCAGGAGGAGCCCCCTCCCCTCGCCCCCCGGACGCCCTGCAGCTTGAGCTGATAGTGTCTCCTCAACCTACGAGCACCTGCTGTGGACTCAGGACTGTGGGGACCGTTAAAGCCAGGCAGGTTGATAAGCCAGGGCCCCTGCTGGTTGCCCACCTCACAGCCATTAGCCCTTCTCCTTGCCAACAAACAGCCTTCTCCCCAGGTCCCTGCAAGGTCACATGATCACTCTCAGCTGGTCGTGGGCATCCCATGCTTCCCAACTGTTCCAGCTGCCTCCTACCTCATGAATCGCCCTCCCGTGTTTCATTTCCACACGCCCTGATCCTAGACATGAAGAAATGTAACACCCTCAACAATGAAGATAAATTGAAAAAAGCATGAAGAAATGACTATGCTGATGGAAAAAGCCACTCTAAGATTCTGTGGCCCAGCCGGTGTGGCTCAGTGGTTGAGCATCGATCCAGGAACCAGGACTGTTGCAGGTTCGATTCCCGCTCAGGGCACATGCCTGGGTTTCGGGCTTGATACCCACCCAGTAGGGGGCATGCAGGAAGCAGCCAATCAATGATTCTCTCTCATCATTGATGTTTCTATCTCTCCCTCTCCCTTCTTCTCTAAAAATAAATAAAAACATGACAAAAGAAAAAAGATGGGTGTGTGTTTACATAAACTTATTTAACAACGTACAGGGCGCCTGCGCTCAGTCACACACACCGGCAGGCGCAGCGCATGCCCAGCGCTAACCCAGCAGCAGCTCAGCATCTGTGGCTCGTGTCCACCACGGTATCATCTGATGTTTTCGTAATTTCGTGATCAGTGATAGGAGCCACTGGGATGATTGACAGCTGCTTGATTGATAGCTCTGTTACTGATAAATGCAATACCAGATGCCCTTTGCGATTCTCAGGCCTCATGTCTCATCATTAGTTGGGGAGAGAAGATGAGATGAGGGGACTCAGCCCTGGACTGAGGAGGACGTCCAGCCGTGTGGCCTTGGACAAGTCACTGAACTTCCTTAGACTCAGTTTCCTCTCCTGTGAAACGGGCCCACCATTCGCCTCCTGGCCAGGCTGGGTCAGGACTGACCCCTGAAGCTACTCTGAGGCGCCCGCAAGACAGGTACCACCCCCCCGCTCAGCACCTGGTCCCACTGTGGGAGCCCCGAGGGCGGAGACCAACGTCATTTCCTTAGATTCCCCACACACACGTGTGCTCTGACACCTGGACCGGGGAGGAGAGGGGTGAAAAGCCATTTCAGATTGAACTTACCAAAAATTTCGGTCGCGCTCTCCACATTTTTGAACATCCCATTGAAGAATGTGGCATCTAAGTGGAAGGAAGAGAAAAATGATGATGGAGCCGTGGTTTCTCCTGGTCCCTGTGCAGGCCCTGGGTGAAGAGTAGCTAAAACCCTTTCTCTTTCTCTAAAGATTTGACCTTGGGCTAACTTCTAGTAACACTGGTTGTCATGGAGACCTGATGAGATGAAACGGGGCCTCTATTACTAGGCAACATTGCTCAATGATTTAACAACAACAACAAAAAGAGGCCCCTGGATGGTAGGGTGGCCCTGGACTGGCGGGAACTATGGGTGAATGCCCCTCTGGACAGCCTAGAAGTGGCAGCCATGCAGCGGTCACGGGAGACACGGACTCCTGTGGAGAGTGAAGATTCTAGGCCGGAGGGTCCGGGCTGCTCCACTGGCACCCAGGCCCCGCCCCTGAGCCGCCCCCGGGGCCCCTGGACTGTGCGGTCACTGCCCGGACTGCTGCCCCTGAAGCTCCACCTGCTTCCCGGCCTCAACCCTCCTGAGAGCCAGTGTGGCCCGAGAGTGTAAAGGTCACCTAACCCCTCCTGGTGGGCATGGCACTGCCCACGGGGACCATGCTGTGAGGAGGGAGGCCATGGTCATGGGCTCTGGTGGGACTCATCACTTCGATTGCAGGGGATCACACACACAACCTGGTGACTCGACTGCCCACCCCCTGGCAAGGTGGGCAGTGAGCCTCCTGCCCAGCGCCAGCATCAGCCAGCTCACCGCACTCTTCCTCAGCGAGGGCCGTGGGAGCCCATCCTGAGAAGCCGTCACCACCCACCAACAGGAAACGGAAACGCGTGGGTCCTCCAGTCCCCGTGAGGCACCATCTCCCGATGGCTCTGCCTCTGGGAGATCCGAGCTCAACCTGAAGCTAAAGCACAGCTACCCCCTGACCCCCTGACCCTCTGACCCTCTGACCCCCTGACCCCCTGACCCCCTGACCCGACCACTAACTCCTTTCTCCTGGCTCGCCCTCGGCAGACATTTATCTGCTGATGGGAACTTCCTTAGCGCTTCGTCTCAAAGGAGAGGCCCATGGCGGGCAGAGTCCAGGCTCCTGCCCAGGGAGAGGCTTTCGGGTCCCACTCCATCCCTCTGCTGCCGGCGTCCAGCAGGAAGCGGCTCATTGGGGGTCATTTCTCTGCCAAGACCCCAGACAACGTCCTGCCCACTAGTCCCCAGGGAAAGGTCAAGGGACACTCACTGAGGTTTTTTGAGAGTCCCGGAGGCAGCTCGTGCGGACGGTGCGGGGTGTCCAGAGGGTGGCTCCCTGCGGGGGGGAGAGGGGTGGGTATGAACGTGCCGGCCCGGCTGGCGGAGGCCGGGGTGGGGGCCAGGAGCGGCCAGGACGG